TTAGGATTCTATATGTCTCCTTCTTTTAACTTCAAGGCTACTAAGCCACCCTGGATGACACAACTCACATGTTACTGACAAGTGATTCTTGATGAGGTTTAACAGACTATCTTTTTGACTGAGTAGACTTAGAATCTTGATAGCATAGGATGACAAATTTATAAAATTATGGCCAGGCTATTTCAACCTATTTAGAAATTTCTTGTCTATAGTCAGCTGCCCTCTTTGGGGCCTTTATGTATTATTTTATTTAGTCTCGTAATCTTTTTGTAGACCCTTCTCATTGAGGGGTGAGCTACCTATCAGGTTACAGTAATTCACCCTCTGACTAATATCCTAATGAGATCATGTCGTTAGAATTTTTTCTTCTGTTGAGATGAAAGAAATTCTTTTGATACCTATTCTTCTTATAAAGTCAATCTTAAGCAAGCATAACACATTTTATCAATAGTTTTTTGTGGGTGTCACCTATGATGTAATTGACCACAATAATATGTCGCTATGTGAGATCTCTTTGAACCCACAATAAAAATGTTTAGTTTTGACTTCTATTTTGATTATGAATGTCATTTTTTATGTTCTTTCGCATATATTTACATGGGTTGAGCATTTTCTAGTATATTTTGGACATGGCTAGCTTTAATTTATGTAATGACAGTTTTTCTATATAAATATATTTGCATCTAATATTATTGTTTCTTCTTTGTCTTTATCCACCTCCAGCCTTCATTTCTTCATTTGCTTTTCTAAGTGAGGTTGACCTAGAAAGGAGGATTTGAAAAGGGCAGGCACTAATAAGGCCATTTATTTCAGAACAAAATTCCCTCCCGGTCCCCTTCTTGGATGTCATAGTCATTCCTTAATTGGTTTCAAAGCATGGCTTATACTTCTGCATTAATAACTTAGAGTTTAAGATCCATCTTATTATAGCACATTAGATAACTACTTTTTATTATTCTCATAATACTCACTATGCACCAACTTTTGATAAATTTTATTTTGAAATATGAAATTACAGATTCTTAACATGCTTGTATAGTATTGATTATAGTTTTGGCTTATATGCCTGAATAATAGTTTATCTTATCTTAATAAAAATGACTTAAAGATTTTAAATGAAAAAAACATTAAATACTATCATTATGTTTCTCATCCTATCTTTCATACATGTTACAATTACATCTAAAAATCATATACTTGATGATATCATATGTTTATATAGTTGTGTTGTAAGAAAAGTGAGAGGAATTCCATATAAAAAGAAATTATTCTTGTTGATAATGTAAGAAATTTAAATAAATATGTTCAAATTTATGTCTTCTAGGAAAATAAAAAAAATAGATAAAAAAGCCAAAGGTAAGGAGAATCATGCCAAAATTCAAATAAACCTAATAACGCTAACAAAAGTAGAAGAGAAGGAGACCACAGTTGTACACCATAAATCATCCACTCAAAGCACCCCATCTCAATCTGACATAAAGGATGAGCTTAAGTAAAATGACTAATGGATGTAAATAATAAATTAAAACACAAATATGTTTCCATTAAAAAAAGTGAAATTTTTAATAAATATATTAACTTTTTTATGAAGAAAATATGACACTTTTATTCACTGCTAAAAAATATCATGCATAATTTATTTGTTTGAAAGTGAAGTATCTAATTTTAATAGCAAACTAAATGATATAAGTTTTTTAACAACTTCTACATCATGCAATGATAATAATTTTGTTTTTAAGATTAAACATTCAGAAAATGAAAATAAAATCTTACAAAATCATTTGATTAAAAATCAAACTGTGCATAATAATACACTAATTTGAAAATTTTAGATAATTCAAATTCTTTTATTAGAATTAAATTAAATAAAAAATCGTAACCATCTACTTGTACTAGTTGTTCGCAAGACTCGCATTCAAATTAGTCTTACTCTTATAAGTCTTCATGTTGCTCACATGCTTTGCATACATGTAAATCTCATAAGTGTGTTAGTTTATTATTTAAAACTAAAGTACGTTTTAAAATTTATTTATACATGATTTGCCAATATTACTTGTTCTTATTATAGTCAACAATTTCATGTTTTATATGTCTACTCATTTAAGAGATCCATGCAATTCAATGTACCATCTAAGAACATTTGACTTCCTAAAAAATTAGTTTATATTGTTATTCACTTTTACATTAAAAATTTTTAATTGCCAGTCATGTTAGTGGATCAAAGCTTGCTTGGATACCATAATATAAGGAATGAGTTTTTTGTTTCGAGTTTTTCTTTGTGATGGATTGATAAATGCAAGTTAATAACTAATGTTTAGAAAAGTGACATTGTATTACTTAAAAGTATGTATTGAAATCTATGTGTTGAAGGAAAAGCCTAAGATAACACAATTAATATTTTTGTTTAAATTTTTTCTTTTCCTATATTCTGTCCTTAGATTAGTTTAGTTTCATTCGTGCCTAACTATTCTACATAAGTTCAATTTTCTATCTAATAAATGAATTGCTTTTCTAAAATATAATTTTAAAAAATTTTAGACATTTTGTTTCTTTTAGCAGAAACATTACTCATTATTTATGTTTCCATAATTTTATACGAAAAAGAATTTTTAGTCTTATTTTTATTATGATTGAATCAAATTATAAACTCTTTTGAACTTTTACAATAATCAATTTTTAAAGAGTACACCTTATGTATATCCACTAATCATAACCAAGATTAGTTCATAGATTTTAGGATCAATTGAATTAAAAAGTTGATATATTCATACTTTTAAATTTGACTTGAACATATTGCTCCTTTCAAATAAATGATTATTATTGCTATAAATTTTAGTTCTATTTTTATATCTTTTAAATTTGCTTAGAATTTTTTTTATAAGTTGCCAAAGGAAGAGAAATAAATATGTTGGCTCATACATCTTTTTTTTAATGCAAACATTTGGGGTAGCATATTTACACTTTGTCAATTATATATATTTTCAATTATAAATTAAAATGACACCCAATATTCAATATTGTTGTAAGGGGTGGTAAAATAAAACTATGGGATAAATATAACCCAAAAGTGTGATGTAATGTCACTTTACACCTTCATCTACATGTAAAGCTAGAATAGATTTGTTTCAATAAAAATCAGGAGATTGTTAGCCAATGAACCTCAAGTCTTATCACTAGATTTTGATAATAACAAATATACATTAGGATTTACTATTTTTTTTATTTTTAAATATTTCAGATATAGTCAAATCATGAACTCAAGCTTAGAAATATAATTTACTCCCATAGGATTTTTAGTACATATTTAATTTAATTTTTTAATAAATCCACATAGTTTAATAAATTTTAATATTGCAAATATTTTTATTAGATAGATAATTTATTTTTCTTTGAATTTAATTTTTTTCACAAAAAAATATCTTGTCTTTGGGATGCTAAAATTTAATATTTTACATATCATATGGTTTTATTTTAAGCACTATTTATATCTAAAATTTTTGAGTTAAATTAATTTTATAAAATATCTTATCATTTCATAAACCTTTCATGCAAAATCATGTTTCTAACTTTTCAAAATTACATATGTGAATTAATTTATTTATATGGTTAATTTAACATTTATTAAAATATATAATTAACTATGAACATATTAATTACATCAGTTAACTATGAACATGCTCAAACTTCTTTAAATCACTTGTATTCTATTGTCATATTAATTATTATATAAACATATGTGTTCATATATATTTATACTTACATATAAATATTTAATATCAAATAATTTTTTATTATTTATCTCCTATTTATGTAATTTTATTATAACACTAATTAATTTTTTTTTGTTTATATTAATCAAGCCAACTCAAAGTCGTAGAATAAAACTAAAACTCAAGCTCTAGCACAATTAATTAACCGCTCAAACTCAAACCGAGACCGACCTAAACTAAACCCAACTTATTTATATCCCTAAAATGAATAGTCCATTTCCATGGGCTCAAGCTCTAGCACAATTAATTAACCACTCAAACTCAAATCGAGACCGACATAAACTAAACCCAACGCATTTATATCCCTAAAATGAATAGTCCATTTCCATGGGTCATTTATGATCATTTTAGTATGTTATTTAACCTAATTTTATTTATATTTTGATATAAAATAAATCTTTAATTTTTTTTTTATAAATAGGGGCATTAATGCACAACATTTATTTAACCTAATTTTATTTATATTTTCATATAAAACAAAATTTTTAATTTTTTTTTTTTTATAAATAGGGGCATTAATGCACAACAACAACAAAGCCTTAATCCCACTACGTGGGGTCAGCTACAGATCAGCTACATGAATCCTTTTTCTCCACTGCATCCCATTTAGTGTCATATTTTCATTTAGTTATATTAAATTAATATAATTTTTAATAAAATAAGCTCAAGTATTCCTAGGTCTACCTCTGCTTTTCTTAACACAAGTCTAATCTAAAACATCTACTCTCCTAATCGGATCATCAGATGGTCGAAGTTTATTGCGACCAAACCATCTAAGATGACTTTCTCTAATTTTTAAGAAAGGCATTAATACACACAGCACACAATTCTTATGCATTTACACATCTCACACCAAAATTTTCATAATTACAAAGCACTCAAATCTTCAAAAATCACATCTAAGAATAGCACTACCATCCATTTTTAAATGGATATAAATCTTTTGACATTAATTTAAAGCAACTAAAGTTCTATGTACATAAACATGATTAGAAGTGAGATATGTAAACACATAAAAATTTGAGTGCTACATATGTAAATTTCCCTTTTACTTATCTATCCAGGGGCACTGGCAATCATTGGTTAGAGCTGACAAGACAATGTATTACATTCATTAAATAAATTATATATGAGATTAGACCTTAGAGATAAACAGTGTTTTTCACTGATTGGACCAAGACTCATTTTACATTAGGCATCATATTTGGGAACGACTCAGTAAGCTGCCACTGACTGGGAAACTGGCAAAGTGGTGAAATATTTAATCCAAATAAATAAGCAATTTATAGTGATAGAAAAAACACACTGAAAACAATAAAAGTTTTAGCAATTTCAAGTCTCGACCACTATTTCCGTTTCATGGTCGGATTTCTCTTCGCTAGCAGGAGGGTCGTTTGTGTCATCTTTTGGTTCATTTTGGGCAATGAGTTTCTTCAACAGTATATTCTTCTCTTCCAGCTTCTCTTGTAATAACCCCACCTGCAATTCAATAAAAATTCAAATCCAAGTGTCTTACAATGTAGAATATACCGAAAACTAAATATCATACACACAGGTCATCATATTGCATCATCATCATAACATAAGATATTCAATAACATCCAAACAAGTGGTTGTACTTAGGGGGTGTTTGGTAGCCCATTTATAACAGGATTTGGCCATGGATTTACCTTAAATTCAGCCAAACATAAAAAAAAATCAAAATTGAAATCCAGATTTCCGGCACCTCTCATTCCGTCTTTCCACGGCCATCCCTTCTTCTGCACAGCCGTTCCGTCTGTAAATCCGGATTTCGTAAATCCTACGGAGAGGCGGATTTAATGGATTTACCATGTTGTTGCTCCACAGCCGTTCTATCTGCAAATCCGAATTTTTTAAATCCCACATAGAAGCGGATTTAATGGATTTACCATGTCATTGCTCCACAGCAGTCCCGTCTTTCGCACAACCGTTTCGTCTGCAAATCCGGATTTCATAAATCCAATGGAGACGAGGATTTAATGGATTTATCGTGTCGTTGCTCGCGACCTTCGCTCCCGTCACGAGCTAGCAATAAATCTGGATTTGACAAATCCTATTAATGTAAATCCAATCCGCCAGCCAAACACCGCCTTAGTAACCCGGGGTAAGTTCACAAGTTCAATGTGTCCAGATTTTCAAAACTAATCATGCGTTCTCTACTTTAATCTTGATAATTGCACTGAATTTTTTATGGTGAGAAGCTGTGTGCCATTGCTGATTCTAGATATTATTTTGGTTCCATCAAAGCCCATGCAAAGGCATTTAGACATTTTAAGAGTTTTGAGACCTTTAAAATGCTATGATTGACAAAAAAAAAAGCAAAGGATGACTAAATTTCTTCTTACTAGCATCTATCTAGCATAATGACACAAGATTAAACAGCAGAAGGGATTAAAGTGATTAAAATTCATGAAGGAATTACCAAACTAGTAAAATTAATCAAAACAAACTTTAGAGATATATCTTACTACATGCCTTCTAACAATTACATTTCTAAGAAAGTGAACATGTTCCAGGGATTGAAATGTTAAAAAATAAAGAAAAAATGAAATTTGAAAATAATTGCTCGGGAACTAGCAATTTGCAAGAATTGTCATTACCATCCTAACATTTAAATAACGAAGGAAAGGAACTAAATACTTAATTAAGAATTACCACTTCATTTGACGTGTCAAGATCAGTTGCAAGTACTTCTGTGTGCTTATATAGTGCTGCTTGCAAAATTATAACAAAAATATTAGCACATTGAATATATGTAACTAACCAAAAAAAAAAAAATACTTAAGTTTTGGCTGTTGGGGGTACATTCCAAACAGTTCAAAAAATGACATAAAAATTAACAAAAAAAGCAAGCATGCCACAAGAACCAATAAAAAAGCTATGTGTATTGTAAAATGCAAACTAACATTTACAACAGTTTTATAATCTTCGGTAAAAATTGAAAAAAAAAATCAGATTTTTAAAGAACATTATTCAAAAGAACATTGCATTCACACATGTATTTGATGTGTTAATCTGATTTGGGGCAGTTGCAGCGCATTAAAAAACAGTTGTAAAGCTGTTGAATAATAATCTGATGCTCAAAAAACAGCGGTGGCTATTACAATTTTTTTTTTTTTGAAGTCAAACTGCAACCAGAAAGTTACCACCGCACATAACTAGGAGTGGTGGGAAAACGCAGATTTCAGCGGCAGCTTTTTGAAAAAACTGTCTGAACGCAGTTTAGTCAAACAGACAAAACTACGGTGTGAACACTCAGTCTCTATTTCCCTTAGCCCCTTTAATGAAAACTTGGTCCTAACTACCCTTGTTAAGAGAGTGTAAACTGATTATTTCATGAAATAAAGTGAATACTGCATCCAATGCAATCATACAGCTCTTTTTGCCACTGACTTCGTTTTCTAATCCCACACACTATCAAAGCCCCGGACTCAAATAAAACTCATGCGGTGGGCCACACTGCCTTCCATCCTCCCATCTATAACCCGATATATCGGTCTCCATCTGCCCCAACCCCAAACTACCCCGTACTCAACCATGGATCCCTCTCTTGTCTTTCTATCAGGGAGTTCTCTCCTTCCCTCCATTAGCTCCCTCTCCACCTCAACCTTACTCTCAACTTCACCCAGTCTCCTTTCTTCCATCCCTCACTAACATATATTGAGCAGAGCTTCATCCTTCTCCCATATAAAGCACCGACTTAGTAATTCAACTTTCCTTTGCTTTGAATGCTTACATTATTCACATCCTCAAAATGCACTTTAGAATTATACATGACTCCATTATGATGAGAAGGAATATATTGTGCGCACAAAGAAATTCTCGACTTGAAGTAATGATAACTTCAAATTTTCTTTTATGGTTGGATTAAAAGATGATATTTCATTTTTTGCATCAGACAACAACATTTCATAACCTTCTAGTTTTGACACATTTATTACATAACTGAACACTTTAATACGAATAAACTAACATGATTAAGAAATATGGAATCTCTTCTGACATTCGGCATCATTTGACCTTGGCTTATGATTTTTTCTTATTCAGTCAGAACATTAAAAAAGGAACTTTATGGAGCCAGAATGTTTATTATCCTGTCTAGAAGCAGCTTTAGTTAGGCAAATTATAAGAAAATTTGGCAAAAAGCTTTGTTAAGTTTTAACCAAAAAAAAAGCCCACCAGCCTTCTGCTAGCTTATCCTACCACAAAGCATGTTTACCAAAAGTTGTAATGACGCTTGTATTTCGATCAACAGACTCATTTGCTGTTAATTGATATATCATCGGTAAAATGCTTGATACAGAATTTTTTTTAGGGACCATTGATTGTAGCCATTAGTATAAAAGTAAAATAATCTGGCGATTCAATTCAATGTGCCCATCAAGTCTTTTTAAATTTTCATAATCTTCATTTTCCACCATAAAAAGTCAAAGAATAGCTGAAATATTCAAAAACATAAATACGAATGTGTTTGTTCAAGAAGAGACAAAAAATAAAGTGTACCTTCACATCTATTTTATAGTGTGAATTCAAAAATAATAGAAAACATCCTTACCATGGTATAGCAATATATCCTAAAAACCATGCTTAAAAATAAAATAAACTTAAAACATGGATACCATTCATATGATTCTGAGGATAAAAAAACCAATTGCTATAATGAAAAAACAAAAACAAAATTAAAAAATAGAAGGCGTCAAAAAAATACTGGAAAGCCATAGAATGTATAGCATATTCTTCTAGCTTAAAAATAGAATAAACTGGTTTCTAATAATAGACAATCTTTCGTGGACATTTTCTGAACAGGACGGCAAATATATCAAGGCCATTAATACATGTACCAAATACCTTATTTCTTGCTTCTTTAACGTTAATTCTTTTTTTCCAACAATCAGATACTAAAGAAATAGCTGAGAGAAGCAAAATGGAAACTACAAAATGTGCAACTCACCCTCAAATTGATTTTTTAGCTCTGCATTTTGGGTTTTCAGCACAGCAATTTTCATCCCCATTTCATGAATCTGAAAATTAAAAATAACAGTAAGCACGAAGAAACTAGGAAAATTCTCACATTCAAGCTGCTGTTTCTTCACCTCATAGCTAGGTGATGAAGAATATCACAAACTAGTTCAGCATAAACAGTAAAGCCCTCTTCTCTCCTTCTAAACAATGGCAAAGCAATATCTAGCAAAAGAAACCTCTTATATACCAAACAATTAGGTAAAGCTAATGAACAATTTGAACTTCATAATGCATGTGTTTAACATTATAGATGTCGATGAAAAAAGTTCTAACTTGGGCAAGATGGCTATGCTTACTACTAAAATGCACAACTCATCAAAAGAATGCTAAGTAATAACCATCTTATGAACAATTTAATCATTCCGTCTCAAACCTCAGATACAAGGACATACCAAACAAAAACACCGCTTGTGTAACAATTATAGGAAAGAGAAAAAAAAATGGGCATGACTGCCCAAAAATTCAATAAAACAATAAGAATGGGTCATTTGCTTGAAATAAGAAGCAGATAGAGGCTAGCACCTGATAGAAAAACATGTAAAGTTTGTTTGGGATCTTTTTTTTTTATTTTTGGTTTTTAAAATATCATTATTTGGTTTGTATATATATATTTTTATTTTTACTTCTAAAAAAAACTAATATGTTTTTCAGACACTCAATATAACTTCAAGCTGGCTTGAGTGTTTTTAAAAACAACCCTAATCTTAATCAAATCTGTCAAATATGTTTTGTTTCAAATAAAACATATAAACAAAACAAAAATAAAAACAAAAAAATAAAAAAACGGCCCGGTAATTTAGTGGACAATTGGACATTTGCAAGCTTCAATCTATTATATTCTTTAGCACTCCAGAATGCATCATTTACCTTTCCCTCAGAAGCTACTGCACCAATCTCCTCATTTTCTTCCTGCAGAGTTCTGCATTTAGCCATTAACATCTTACCCAACCGACTATTTGCAGTAAAATTAACAGCAGCAAGATTATCTTGCAACTCTTTTACTTTTTTTTCTTTCTCTTCAACCAAATTCTGTCCAACAAAGAAGCGCAAATTATAAAGTAAACCAATGCAATGTTCCTTCTCTCTAATCTTCAATAGATGTTTAATAAAATAAATTTGACAAAAAAAAAATCAATGATACATAGTTAAAAAGAACAAAAGCATCCCAAATGGGTGGTAGATCGAGAAGCATAAGGTAAGAAAAGATGTTGAAATAGTTTTACGAAAATATTTCATAAGAATAAAATGGACTTCCACTCTTTGAAGAAACGAAATCAGAATGTAGTCGTATCAGTTGGCATGCACCTTTAAGCGCATAAATTCCTCGTGTATAGCCGGATCAAGCAACAATCTTCTTGTCTGTTCAGAATAAAGAAACAAAATGATTACCAAAGAGAAAGGGTGCTAATATAAAAGTAGAAAAAAGACCACAACTTAAACTAGATAGGTTCTATCCTCCCAATATGATGATAAATCCAGCATTAGTCTTCCATGAACAATCGAATGGAAGTAGCACTAAAATGAGACTATTTGGAAGTAAAAAATCAATAAAACTTCAGTAATTTATATGCATCTTCATACATCTCCATGTCGAAGTAGGGTGTAGTATAACTTGCTAGAAGATATAGGTTCAGCCTACAAAGTCCTTTCAATATGAACATTTTGCTCATTTATTGTATGCAAACTAAAAATAATAGAAAATCATATGATGGCACCTAGCCCAAACCCCAAAAGGCAGAATAAATTTAGTGTTCATAATAAAAATGTCACCGCCAAAACATTCTCCCAATGCCATTTCTCCTTAGAAGTATAAAAAACAAATGACAGTGCATACTAAAAGTTAACTACATTAAATTATAATAAGTGATAAATATTTCTAGTAAAAATCTATACTATTGCCTTTACTAAATTTCATAATTAATAAGAATATTCTAATTTATTATATTTTATTTATCATGACCTTATATAAGCACATATATGCTTCTATTAAGATGATAATTCAATAAAAATGTAGTCCTTCGTAATACTTTCTCCCTTCTAAAATGGCATCAAAACGAATAGGTCCCTCCAAATTTTCTCTAATCATCAGTCTTTCCTATACTTAGGTGTGTAATTGGGATAAGCCAACTCATAAGCTAGATCAGGCTTGACACAATAAATATCGTAAGCAAAACTAGCTTAAGATAACAAGGCAAGCTTAAACCAACTCTGCCTCAACTCATTGAATTATGAGTCAACTCATTTAACAATATTAATAGAAAATGCGATTAAAAAATTATGAGATTGAATATAGAGTTTTAAGAAACAAAAAAACGTAATCCTCATCAATATTCTAATTTATTTTTTATTGCTTATGCTCTACTTTCTAAATCTTTTTCATGATTTCATTACTCACTCCTCGAAAGGAATGACTTTCATCCTTTAATAATAAATAAACTAGCTCATAAGCCATCATAAACGCACAAAATTGAGCTCAAACTAGAACTTGATTCACTATCGTGGTGTCATCACCAACTTCATGAAAAAATAAGGTGCAACTATTTCACATGTTGTCACACCTCTCATCTCCCCAGACGCTGCCTACAATTGATTTCCATCATCAACTATCAAGGCACTTGGCCTCTTTTATTTAATTTCTCACAAGCTTTGTTCACCTTTATAATCTAACTATCTTCTATGGGAATGCGATCTATGATTTTTATTCTTACTGAATCAACCTTTTTGTTGACGCTATCAATGCTCTTCATGGACAATCTCCATTGATAATTCAGTCGATGTTTTTTATTAATATCATAATTTAAGAACCTTATCAATCTCTGACCCGTATCTCATTACGAATTCTGTGTCTACTTCACACTACTCTCTCTTTCATTGATCAATCACGCTCCTCTAGCAATGCTTGCAATCTTCAGGCAATAAAACTTTCAACAATTGCATCTAATCATTAATACTTTGAAACTCAAGTTGACATCTATTATGCCACTTTGAGTTTGTGGGGTAGTTCTGTCATATTTAAATTATAGAATATGCATTATTATCATCATCATCATCATCATCATCATCATCATCATCATCATCATCATCATCATCATCATCATCATCATCATTTTGTAAATAATTATATTCTTAGTTCATCATCATCATCATCATCATCAACATCATCATCATCATCATCATCATCATCATCATCATCATCATCATCATCATCATCATCATCATCATCATCATCATCATCATCATCATCATCATCATCATCATCATCATCATCATCATCATCATCATCATCATCATGTTCTGTCATATTTAAATTATAGAACACCACCACCACCACCACCACCACCACCACCACTTTCCATTTTAACACTAATCAGAATCCATCCACAGTGATCATTATTATCATTATCATCATCTACTTTATTGTATTTTCCATCATTGTTCTCCTCTTACCCAATATATAAACACATAAATTATTATACATAGATGAAGATATAAACTTATATAATTATTTATCCATTTTAACACTAATCAGAATCCATCCACAGTGACCTTTCTTTTAATGCCTATTGGCACCCAATCTTAAAGCATCCTTAAATTCCTAGTATGACCATTACAAACTTACATTGACCAAAAAAAAAAAAGGAGGGCAAGTTGGTTTAAAAATTAGTTTTGGTGCATTGAAGCCAACATTACAAATAAGTGTAGTACTTCCATAAGGCCCAAATTTCAATGCTAAATGATGTGAACTCGCCCCACCAAACACCTGAAAAAATTACGAAAGAACTTCTGCAAATTGAGTTAGATGGAAAAAACTGTCAGCCGAACTTCTCTTGATCACCAAGAACAACTCCTAGTGCTGCAATCGAATGAATCAACGACAGTTGAAGGAATGGAAGAACAGTGCTTCGGTCTTCGAAGAAGAGAATCCCGAATGTTGTCATCTTCCTCACTCTTCGAACTCCCTGCCGATAACCTTGCCGCAAGGCAAGGATTGGAATTGTCGAAGACTCCTGCAGTTAATGCGTTCCTGCAGGCAGAACTGTCGAATCCTTTCCTAGGCGGAACAAGAACCTCTTCTTCCTGCGAACTCCTTGTTGTTGTAGTCTGAGATGTCTATACTGAACTCTAGCTACAGTGTTGAATATTAGAAGTGTCGAATACCTCTCTTTCTGTAGTTGAATTCCTTCTGTCTGAATAACCGAAGGAATGGAAGATTTGTTTCCCGTGTAACGGCTTCTGTATCCAATATGTGAAAACATAGCAAGCAGAACAAGGGAAAAATAGAAACGGAAAATATGCAAGAAATGAAATGCAAGAACACAACCAATTACGTGGTTCGGTCCTTAGACCTACTACCACGGGAGGGAATCACCAACAAATACACTAAGTAAAAGAAGAACTACAGGCTTTTTACATCAATAAATGAACACTCCTCTAGATCACTCCCTCTTGAAACTACCTCGATACAAGATCTAAAACTTATCCCTCAATTCTTGAAGTCTCTCCCCTTCTTCTTCTTCATGGACTGATTTTCTTCCCCTTCTTCGTCTTATTGGTCTGTTGTGAAACCCGCCCCACCAAACACCTAAAAAATTACGAAAGAACTTCTGCAAATTGAGTTAAATGGAAAAAACTGTCAATCGAACTTCTCTTGATCACCAAGAACAGCTCCTTGTGTTGTAGTCGAATGGATCACCGAAGAGGATCACCGAAGAGCTCCTTGCTGCTCCTTGCTGGACAATTGAAGGAATGGAAGAACAGTGCTTCGGTCTTCAAAGAAGAGAATCCCAAATGTTGTCGTCTTCCTCACTCTTCAAACTCCCTGCCGAAGACCTTGCCGCAAGGCAAAGATTGGAATTGTCGAAGACACCTGCAGTTAATGTGTTCCTGTAGGCAGAACTGTCGAACCCTTTCCTAGGCGGAACAAGAACATTTTCTTCCTGCGAACTCCTTATTGTTGTAGCCTAAGATGTTTGCACCGAACTCTAGCTACAGTGCTGAATATTAGGAGTGTCGAATACCTCTCTTGCTGTAGTCGAATTCCTTCTGTCTGAATAACCGAAGGAATGAAAGATTTGTTTCCCGTGTAACGGTTGCTGTATCCAATATGTGAAAACGCAACAAGCAGAACAAGGGAAAAACAGAAAGGGAAAAAATGCAAGAAATGAAATGCAAGAACACAACCAATTACGTGGTTCGGTCCTTAGATCTACATCACGGGAGGGAATCGCCAACAAATACACTGTCAAAGAAGAATTGCAGGTTTTTTACATCAAGGAATGAACACTCCTCTAGATCTCTCCTTCTCGAAACTACCTCGATACAAAATCTAAAACTCCTCCCTCAATTCTTGAAGCCTCTTCCCTTCTTCTTCTTGGACTGATTTCCTTCCCCTTTCGGTCTTCTTAGTCTTCTTTATATCTTCCTCCTTGTAGTGGTCTCTCTCCTCTACAACCTTGTAGTAGACTCCTCCCCTTAATTTCCTACAAGCCTCCCTCATCTATTTATAGATGAGCCCCTCCCCCCCAGTAGATCATAGAAGCTCATAAGGAAATCACAAGTATGTCATTGCCTTAATTAACCAATTGAGAGTCATATATAACAATTCTCCTCCTTGACTCTCAATTACGACGCTTCATAATAGAGATTCCCTCCACCTTGCCCCGAGGGGCCCTTAGCCCTTGGTTGAGTCTGCCTTGGTTGAGTCTAAGCCCTTGGTTGAGTCTGCTAAGTCCAGAAATTTCCTGAACTTAGCAATCAAAGTTCTTTCGAGTAGAGAATATTGTCTCTTCTTTCCTTACTTCTTTCACGACGATATGAGAACCTTTAGTTACTCTGATATGATTATTTTCCATCTTAAAATAGTATTTGCTTGTCTCCAACATATCTAAAGAAATCAGATTTCTTTTGAGCTCCGGTGCGTACCTGACATGTTGCAATATTCTTTCGGCTCCATCGAACATCTTTATGTTGATTGTTCAACTGCCGACCACCTTGCAATCATTATTATCACCAAGTAGTACGGGCCCACCATTTGACAGTTGCAGTGTCTCGAACGAGTCCTTATGAGGACACATGTGGAAAGAGCACCCTGAGTCGAGGATCCACTCCTTGTTGGATTCTGGTTGGATTCTGATTCGATTCTGATTCGGTGATCACCAGTGCTTCAGCTGAATCATAGTCGTCCAAGGCTATGCTTGCTTCTCCAGAATCTTTAGGATTTTCTTGATATTTGTTCTTCCTGTCAGGACAGTTCCCCTTGAAGTGATCATCCTTGTGACAATGATAACACTTAAAAGATCCTTTTCTTGAAAGATCCTTTGATCCTTTTGATGACTGATTTTCGCCCTCCTTTCTTGATC